GAGGTCGTTCATCTCCTCACTCCGGAAGCACCGGGCGGTCGATGGCGAAGTCAGATCTCCCTGCTGATTCCTGGGGCCAGAAGTATCTGACTGCTGAGTTCCCTTGCAACATGTGCTGGGAGTGGGGCCATTGGGCCTCTGATTGTCCCAGGGTCAAGAAAGGTCTTCCCCCGCTAGATGACCCTCGAAAGTCGAATCCCGGTTGGCAGCCGAAGAAATCCAATGTCATGTCCGGTCGTCTTGCAGTTTCGGGCGGCTCTCTGGCCTCTATTTCGGCAAATCCCGATCGAGCTGATGACATTCTGTGCGACACAGGAGCGACTAATCATGTAACGTCGCGACATCATTATTTTTCCTCTCTGCGCCCAACTAACATCCGTTTACGCGTTGCATCTGAAGAATGCCTTTCCGTAGAAGGCATTGGGGACGCTGTCATCCCCACGGCGCACGGCGATCTCCGGCTGTCAAACTTGATTCTCTGTTCTCATGTGCGGGGTACGGTGCTGTCGGTTGGTTTTTTCAACAAGTGGGACGGCACGGTTTCTTTTCGCGACGGTCTTTTTCAATTCTTTCAAAAAAATCTTTGTTTCCCCTCTTATGTCGACAATTATCGATGGTTCATCTCTTCATCACCGGTTTCTTCTCCTACTCCATCTCCCTCTGTTTCCTCTGTGTCCAGGCCTTCTTCTCCTGTTGTTTCCTCTCTCTCGTCCAAACTCTGGCATGCGCGTCTAGGTCATCTTGCAATGCGGACCGTTAATAAATCTATTTTCAATGACTGTGTAGAGGGTTTGCCTGACAAACCTTTTGCCCAATTCTCTGGAAAATGTCACTCCTGCTCACTGGCCAAAAGCACACACAAGCCGGTGAACTCTCCTTCGCGTGCCATTGCTGACAAGCCGGGGGCCATTGTTGCGGTTGACTTAGTTGGTCCTTTTCCTGCTGCTCTCGATGGTAGCACTTACGGCCTAGTCATCCATGATCTCTTCTCTCGAATGACTTCGGTTTTCGGTTTAAAGACTAAGGATTTGGCGGCGAAGGAGGTTATCTCGTGGATTGGGAATTTCAAGAAACACTGTTCTCACAATGTTTTGTGTATTCGCTCTGATTGCGGTGGTGAATTTATCTCCAACAAATTCAATGATTTTTTAAAGAAGAACGACATTCGCCACAAAATGTCTGTTCCCTATGAAAATCATCAAAACGGGAGTGTGGAACGGACCAATCGGACTCTTCTCGACATGGCCAGGACTTTGTTAATACATGCAAAACTTCCGAATACTCTGTGGTTTCTCGCTCTCAAGCAGGCGGCTTTTATCTTCAACCGGATTGTTCATGATGGGGCTTTCAAGACTCCTTTTGAACTCTGCATGGGCAAGGTGCCTTCCCTAGACATGGTGAAGGTTTTTGGTTGTCGCGCTTACCTCCATAACATTAAATACCCCAAGCAGTTCGTTCCTCGCTCAACGGCTCTGATCCATGTTGGAATATCGGATACGTCTCATGGGTGGCTTCTTTGGAACCCAAATTCCAAGAAGTTAGAAGTTGGGGCCTCTGTCATCTTTCATGAAGACGACCTTCCATCTCAGTTGACAAACTCTGGGACCTTGAATGCTGTACTCAACTCGATACAGGCTTATGCACTAGGTGATTTCTCCCAGATTAAGGAATTGGAACTACAGGACGCTTGTGTTTCATCTGCCGTCGCACTTTCGCCTTTTCTTTCCGACGCCCCGAATACTTACCAGCAGGCTTTGAAGTCCGAATATCGCGTTGAATGGCTAGCGGCGTGTGATGCGGAAATCGATATGATGATCCAGCTCAAGGTGTGGGAAGAAGTTCCTTTCTCGGCCGACCTTGAAATTCTTAACTGTCGTTGGGTTTTTGCGCTCAAGAGAAGCCAGGAGGGCGTAATTACCCGCTTCAAGGCTAGAATTGTCGCACAGGGTTTCCGTCAAGTCAACGGTGTCAACGTGGGGGAAACTTTTGCGCCTACCCCTACTTTCCCTTCTTTACGGATGTTGCTGGCTATGGCCTCCAAATTCAAATGGCCTGTGGCTTCTTTTGATGTCAAGTCGGCGTAGAGATGTCGCTCGATACCCGGGTACCTGTAGTGGGTGCGGGTACCTGCCTCAAAAATCCAATATTTTTGACACCCGCACCCGCACCCGCACCTGCTAGGGCCGCCAGGGCGGGTACCCGGGTACCTGTGCCGGGTACCTGCAGGTACCTGGCACATTTTTGCAGGTAAATATACCCAGAAATCTCACCCTTGAATTTCTGCATGACTTGGTAAATATAAGATTGATATTCACTAGATATATGAGTCAGAATACAATAAAAATAAAGAAATAAAGAAAAACAAATTATTCTATCACCAATTTGAATTTTATCTTCTCTCTTATCTATCTTTAGCTTTACCCTTTTGCTTGGCCTCATTTTGCTTATTTAATTTCCATTGATGAAGACTGTACACCATGTTTATGACTGGAGGAATTACTCCAGTCATCAAGACTGTACACCATCTCAAAGGCCGGAGGGAACCCTCCGGCCTCAACAAAGCAACCAGATTAGTTCAGCAACACATGTAGGACACCAGCTGGCGTCCTACATGGGTTGCTGACACCTTTGTGCAGCCCAACACACCCAAAAAAAGGAGTGTTGGACCACCAATGATAAATTAAATTCTTCAGGGGAAGCATTCCCAGGGCGGGTGTAAGGCAGGTACCCGGGTACCTGCCTGTTTTTACCGCAAATGTTGACACCCGCACCCGCACCCGGTACCCGTTTCCGGGTACCTGCTTTGGAAAACAGGTACCCGCAAACGGGTACCGGGTACCTGCAAACGGGTACCCGCTGACATCTCTAAGTCGGCGTTTCTTCACAGCGATATCGACTATGATGTGTACATCCGTCCCCCACCGGGTGTCAATGTTCCCCCAGGCAGTGTACTCAAGCTCAACAAGGCGCTTTATGGCACCAAGCAGGCCAGTCGCTGCTGGTGGCTTCACCTCAAGTCCAAGTTAGCTTCCATTGGTTTTCAGCCTAATCTAGAGGATCAATCGACTTATGTCTACAAGTCTGGCAATGATATGGCTTTTTTGTGGGTGCACGTAGACGACGGCATCTTTACGGCTAGCTCGCATGATCTGCTAATCAGGCTGAAGACACTTCTGAGCTCTGTTCTGGACCTGAAGTGGGATGCTGCGCTGTCAAGTATTGTTGGAATTCGGGTGAAGGAAATATCAGGTGGTTTTGCTCTTGACCAGCCAATGCTCGTCGAGAAAATTATCAATTATTCGCCGTCAAACATCAAGACCCGGACACCTTTGCCCAACACCAATCTTGTCTCCAACCCGGCGCGTGAAATGGATCGTGAATACCTTTCCAGAATTGGTTGCCTGTTGTACCTTGCTCAGGGTTCCCGTCCAGACATCACGTTTGCGGTGAACTACTTGGCTCGTTTCTCCATGGCTCCCGACGAGACCCATTGGTCGGCCCTGGAACACTTGATTTCTTACGTCCAATACTCAGCTCGTCTTGCCCTGCCGATTGTGGCGCACGGACCGGATCTCGATTGTGTCAAAACCTTTGTGGATGCCAACTGGGGAGGTGAAGGCTGGCGCTCAGTTCATGGCTTCATCTCTACCGTGTGGGGTGCCCCCGTCTCTTGGTCCTCAAAGAGACAGACATGTGTGGCGCGGTCCACATGTCAAGCTGAGTATATGGCGCTATCATTTGCGTCAAAAGACTCATGCTTTCTCCATTCACTCCTGTCAAACTTCTTCTCCATCAAATCACCCCTCATTCTGTCTGACAACAAAGCCGCGGTGTATATCAGCAAGGATTGCGGTTCAAGGAAGGAGCATCGACACGTCGATAGGGAATTCCACATCATCAATGAATTACTTTATCAAGAGAAGGTGCGCCTTGAGTGGATTTCGACCAATGATCAGCTGGCGGACATATTCACCAAAGCTCTAGGATGGAAAAAAGTGTTGGATTTTTTGAACCAGACGGGTTTGTGGTCCTCGTCTCACACCTTGGCAAGTATTGGGGGGAAAGTATGCGCTGGCTGCGATGAACATACGCCCCCCGCGATTGTTTGTCTCCCTCCGGAGTCTACTCATCATCACATGGTTGATTGGTTTGACAGTGGTTAACCATATATGTTTTATATTTTTTGTCATCTTCCTCTCAGGACGACCACCGATCATGGCGCGTGGGGTCTAGGATTGATTATCTTCTTTGTCTTATTTCTTCTTATTTTTTCTATCATGTTTTCTTATATTTCTTTCTTTTCTATAATTGTTTTCTTACTTTCTTTTTCTCTGTTTCCATTTTTTCTATTTCTCATTTTCCTTTGTTTTCTCTAGGGTTGTTGAGGGGGGGAGTGTTCTGGTACGAATATGTACTTACACATTATTCTATATTTCTCATGTCATGTCACTTATTTACATACATATTTTGTCATACCTATACACATATTATGTACATATTCATAGCTATAGTTTCTCACCAACCCAAATACATACTTGTAAATAGTATAAATAGTAGTCCTACTACCAAAATACAATCTTTCCCTTGGGGGAGTTTTCCTATTCTCAACTTTTGTACCGCTGCGCTCTACATAGTTTACCAAACACAGCATGTTTTTTTAGTTCCATGGTGTTGTATCAATGTATCTTCTTGCCCAGATCCCCCCCGTATTCATAAGGTCAACAACAATACCCAAAAGCAGACCGTTGTGTTAACGTGGCTTAGATACAATACATTTCACTTTCTTTTTCTCCCCCCTTCCACCTCCCTTCCACCGGCCAACTGATGAACACCCAAAACCATGCCCAAGAAACCCCACCCCGCCAAGCTACTTCATATTTTCTTCCCTTTGCTTCCTTTCCATCCTTTGAAAAAAACAAAACAAAACAAAACAAGGAAAAGAACCAACAATTACGTATTTACACAACAACAACAAAAAAAAAAGGAAAAAGTAGACAGACAGACAGAGACAGTCAAAAAGAAAAGAAAAGAAAAGAAAAGAAAAGAAAAGAAAAGAAAAGAAAGAGGAAGGACACGTGTTGAACAAGAGAGTGGGTGGCCAAGTGAATCATTGTTTTCTTTAGTTTGTTTTTGTTTGTTTCAACAAAGAAAAGGAAAGAAAAGAGGGTGAAATTGAGGGGTGTATTTTTGGGGGACCAAGAGTGAACGATTCAAAGAGACGAATATAATGTGGATATATATATATATATATGAATATAAGGTGAATCCAGTCGCACAAGAGGAAGGTATTTATTATCAGGTTGGAGGAATGTGAATGATAAGTGGATTTGTTATGGATGGTGAGGTAAGTGTGAGAAAGAGACAGAAAGAGAGGACAAGATATAAATATACGAGGCGTGTATGGAATGGAAAACGAGAATGAAAAGTGAGATCGAATGAATTCAAAAAAAAAGAAGAAAAAGGAATGCTTTGGAGAAAGAAAGAAAGGGAAGGAGAAGAAGAGAAGAGAAGAAGACGGATCTAATCGATCGACATCCGTTTCTGAGAGTCGTCATTGATCGAGGCCGAGTTCTGACGACGTTGAGAATGAGAATGGAGGAAGCCGTGGGGCTGATGAGTAGTACGAGCCTGGGAGAGGGTGGTAGTAGGAGTAGCGGTAGATTGAGGGAAAGAGAGATTGAGCAAGTGATGGTTAGGAGCGGAGAGTTCGAAGGGCGGGGGTGGAAGAGTAGGCGGCGAGGATCGCAGTCGATCGTCATCATCAAAGTCGAGATGGCTCGAGAAGTATCCGCCAACCGGGTCCTCAAGGAAGCCGTGTTGATGGTTATTCGACTTGAAGGTCGACAGCTTCTGTTGCTCCATCCCTCCATCCATGTACACCTCTAATCCTCCTTGCTTCGTCATCGTCCCTAAGGTCGTCCCGCTCCCCGTTCGCGAATATCTCTCTCCTCCCTGCTCGTCGTGCTGTCTTCTTCCTTCACCAGTATTCCCATATACTCGCTCAGCTTGCCGTCGTCGTTCAGACGGCTTCTTCCTCGTACTCGAAGTCTTATCAACTGTCGTTCATAAAAAAGAAAATCAGTGTTTTTTTTATCAGCAACGAAATGAAAACTTTTTCAAGGACTTTGATGATGGAATCTGGAAGCTCAACTTTGTGGTTTCAATCCTTTCCCGAAATTCAATAAGCAAATGATCGCAGAAGTAAAGCTCAGAAGGGTCATCAAAAGACAAGAGACGGCTTCCCAGCAAGGAAAGAGATTGTATCAATTAAGACTTTTGCTTTGTTTTTACTAAAAAAAAAAAAAGAAAGACGTACAGAAGACAGTCAAAGATTTGAAGACGTTTGCATAAGAGAGAACATTCGATCGACCTTGCCAAATCCTAAAGAGCTACAAGAAAGGAAAAGGGGGGAGGGGTGATTGATAAATGAAGAGTTCTCGAGAAAAGAAAAAAAAAAGAGAAATAGAGAGGGGATACCTTGTAGACGAAGTAACAAGATCCAGAGAGCAGACCAAGCATGAACAAACAAGTGACCGATTTGATTTCTTTTCGGACGCCGTAATACCCAATGACCAAGAAGAGAAAAGTGGTTGGTAAGGCGATGATCGTCAGAACTCGTTCCAGGGGGCTGACTGAGGGGACCAATAAGACTAGTTGGACGGTGAATGCCATAAAGAAGAAGTAATCAAACTTCAATAGACACATGAAAACTGTTTTGTTGTTTCCCCACCAGAAGATAAAAAAAGAAAGGATGACAAGGTGAGTATGGGATGGAGATATATGTATATTGGTCCAAAGGATTTAGGGCTCACTTTGGTACCACAGATAGACCCGTTTGATCTTCCTATCCGCGCCGATTTGTTTGTAGATCTGCCAACCAAATTCTTTGAAGAGATGCCATGTTAGATAGACGAAAGCGACCTGTGAGATCCCGATACAAGCCGGGATGATCGAGAGGATGATCGCAGGAGTTAGGTTGGAGTTAGTACTATTACTGCCTTCTACCGATTCGATTTTTCTAATTTCAGGCACCTACATAGATCACAGCCAAACACAAACAAAAGATGATCAGTAAGGCAGAGATAATGATGATATAAGGTAAGACTGAACTTGAATGATAGCATAGACCAAGAAGGCGAAGTTGAAACAACACAGTCCGATGAGCTGGATAGTATTTTTATGACGAAGGGCGTCTAAGGCGAAGTAGAGTTGGAAGAGATGGGCGAGGATGAAGATGCCAAGATAGACGGCCAAGGGGGTCTTGGTGGCCGCAGAGTCGAAGGAGAGTTTGAAGGTGTGGATGAGGTTGAGCCGGGCGATTACGACGGACTCGAGGATGACATCGATGCATGACTCTAGGATGGTGATTATTAGGAAGGTCTTTCCGTATACTGATTGGGGTAAAAACTGTCGATTCACAAATTTTTCTTGGTTAGCTTCTCGTGGGTTTTTTTTTTTTGATTCATTTTTGCTGGTGTGTGTCTGTGTTTTTGATTCTTACTTGGTTGATCGTCGGTTTGATCGTTTGAGTCCATCTTGAGCTTTTCATTCTCGTCGTCCACTGACTGAGCCACCCCGCCACCCCAGAGAAGAGAACAAGTTTGAATCGGGGTTTGGTATATGATTCCGTATGTGTGTGTATTCTTGGCGTTCAAATCCGTCGGTCTGTGCGCTTTTCGTTTTTTCTTTCCTTCTTTAATCTTCCAAGATAATGTTTTGTTTTTTTTGGTGTGTTTATGAGAGTGATCAAGAATCGAAAGAGAGGGGTGGTTATGCGTTTCCAAATGAGTTGTTGTTTTTTTGAGGGGTATTCTTCTTCTTGAGGTTGTTGTTGTTGTTGTTTTGAGGAGTGATGACTGAGGGTATTGTTGTTTTCCTGAATGAAACGAGTGGGTTTGTTGTGTTGTGTTTTTTGGTTGGTTGTTGGTAAACAGATTACTCGGAAGAAGATGGCTCATTAACTCCAGGGTGATTATTATTTGGCTGTGAATCTCTGCTGCTGTGTATCT